AGAGAGTTAGATGTATGCTTTCTAATTTGGGTTTAGAAAAGGATTTTTGAGCTAAAGTAGTTAACACGACTTATTATCTTGTCAACCATTTTCTCTCTACTATCATTGATTGTAAGATTTTAAATGAGATATACTCGGGTAAACCTAGTAATTATTCAAATTTAAAAGTATTTGAAAGCCCTACTTATTATCATGTTAAAGATGATAAACTTGAACCTAGAGCAAAGAAATGCATATTTGTTAGTTATGCTAATGGGGTGGAAGGTTATCATCTATGATGCCTTGAAACCAATTCATATAAATTATTATTAGTAGATATGTTACTTTTAATGAGAGATATATTCTTGATCAAGGAAAGATTATTTATGAGTCTACAGGAAAGGATGAGAAAGCCATGGATAAAGCGAGCTTCACGTGGAGTTTAAAAGAGAGACTCCTCAAAAAAACCATCCCTAGATATATCTTCTATAGTTGTAGATGTGCAACAAGTTTCAAATATGAATGAAGATGTCACGGAATTTGAACAAACATACTCAATAGCTACTGGCCAAGAAAGGAGATAGGTAAGAACTCTCTAGAAATATGTTTATACCGATCTAGTATCCTATGCCCTCACTAGAGCTAAGGCAATGAGCATTCGAAGCCTTCTACCTATATAAAGATAGTGATTAGTGAAGAGTCTAGTCAATTAGCCATTACAATGATAGAAGAACTCAATTCACTCTATAAAAATTAAACTTAGGATTTAGTGACATTACCTAAACGTAACGGACTCATTGGATGTAAATGGGTCTATAAGAAAAAGGCAAGAATATCGGGTGTTAAAGATGCTAGATTCGGGGCACGATTTGGTGGCTAAAGGTTATAGTCAAAATGAGGGGATTAATTATAATGAAGTATTTTCTCTAGTTGTTAAACACACCACTATTCGTCCGTCAGCTTGTTATGGTAACTCAATTTGATTTGGAGCTCGAAGCAACTTAATGTGAAAATAGCTTTTTCTACATAGAGACTTAAGGAGACTATTTATATGTCTCAACCGGAGGGATAATTTATGAAAGGGAAAGAAGACCATGTTTGCGGATTGAAGAAATCTTTGTGTTGCCTAAAAAAATCACCAAGGCAATGGTACAAAAGGTTTAATAATTTTATACTTAATCATTGTTATTCAATATCTATTTGTGATAGTTGTGTGTATTCAAACATTTAACGGATGGATCTTTTGTGTATCTCTTATTGTATATGGATGATATGCTTATTGTTGTCAATAACATGTCGGAAATTTAAGTTCTAAAAAAACAACTCGGTGATGAGTTTTAGATGAAAGATCTTAGATCATCAAAAAAGATCTTAAGTATGGAGATTCATAGAGATAGGAAGGTTGAAAAATTATATCCGTCACGGAAAGGATATATTAAGAAAGTGCTTGAGTGCTTTGGTATGTAAAAGGCCAAACTTGTTAGTACTTCATTGGTCTGCTCATTTCAAACTTTTAGCTTCTCGGTTACCTCTAAATAAAGAAGAAGAGAAGGACATGTTATAAGTCTCATATTCCAGTGCGAGTAGGGAGCATAATATATGTTATGGTCCGGATAATGCCTAAGCGAGTTAGTGTTATGAGCGAGATATATGGCTCACCCAAGAAAGGTACATTGGCAAGTAATGAAGTGGATTCTCAAGTATCTCAAAGGTATCATAGACTTGGGTTTAGTCTTTGAAAGGGGCGATGCTTCGAAACTTCGTTGTAGACTCGTGTGGATTCTAACTATGCAAGTGACCTCAATAAAAAAAAAAAAAAAGATCTTTGACATGGCATATCTTTACACTTTCGGGTTTTGCTATAAGTTGGAGATCAATATAGTTGATCGTTGCTTTGTCCACTACCGAAGCGAATATATGGTAGTGGTCGAGGCCATGAAGGAAACTATTTGGTTGAGAAATCTTATGGAGGAACTTATTGGAGGAACTTCATCTTCAACAAGAAGAAACTTCAATTGTCTTTTGTGACAACCAAAATGTTATACACTTAACCAAAAATCAAGAACATCATGAGAGGAACAAGCATAGTGATATCGGGTATCATTTCATTTGTCAAGTAGTTTCGACAAAAAGATTGCATGAAGAAAATTCACACTAAAGACAATCCGAGTTGATGTGTTAACTAAACCCATTACAACAAATAAGTTCATGCATTGTTTGGACTCGAGTGGTGTTAAGAAAATCAAAGTATGCTACCGAAAAGAAACCCTCGATCATGTGAAGGAGAAAGGCACGACTATATGAGTTTTCTTCTCTCTCTCGTGCTTCATGCCTCTACCCGTGTGAAGCATTTGTCTTGCACCCGTGCTTAATGTTTTTGCTCGTGTGACACTTCTATCTTATGTCTATGCCTCATGCCACAACTCATGTGGTGTTTTGATGTAGAGAGTGAAGCACGGGTGTGTGACTTTATTGATTTGGCCGTATGCTCATGAATTTGCCTGTGTGCCTCAAACATTTGTTTATGCATGGAAGAGAAGGAATTTTGTTAGTCCTATTGTTAAAGTCAATATTTTCTCTCTTCACATCTCTTGTTTCTTACATCGAGTTAGCTCACATAAACTTAGAGATGTGTTTTGAGAAATTATTTGATATTTTTGAAGGTTTGCAAAATTCAAACCAAGGTAGAGATTTGTTGTATATGGCTTGAATTTTATGGGCCAATAATATATTTAGCCCATTAGGTTTTTTTTCTTTATAGGTATAAAGTGTTTAAACCTCCTTGTATCTTTGTTTAGGAAATAGATTGAAAGACAAAAACTTTGTATTGAGCTCCTAGAATTCTTGTATTCTCTTGCTATCAAGATAATAAAAACTTCTCTCTCGCTCGTGGAATCAATTTGTTGAACCACGTAAATTCTGTGTATTAATAATTTGTTAGCTTTATCTTTTGATTACTATCTTTCATTACTTGTTTTGTTTCCACTTTTTTTCATAATACCTTTAAGGTTTAAATTCTTAAGCATAGGGAGGCACCCAATTTCTTCAGGTATAGCTCCTGTGAAATTATTAGAAGATAACCATAATTCTTGTAACTTTCTGCATTTATTTAATTCAGACGGAATTTGGCCACTGAATCGGTTCGAGTGAAGTGAAAGGTATTTCAGTTTCGAAATATAGTCGCATACGTTTGTTGAAAGACTTCCAAATAAGTGGTTAAACGGGAGATCAATGACTTACAAGGAAGAGATGTTAAAGATTGTCGACGGAATTGTACCTGCAAAACTCATATATAGAGTCAGCAAAAACTTCACTTGCTAAATCTTAGAGAATTTCTTTGCAAGAAATTATGTAAATGAAGAAGAAGAGCATATAGTAAGTACGTACGACCTGGGAGAATATTTTCAAAGAATTCAAAATATTGAAGTTTGTGGAAATTCCCAAAACTTGCAGGAATCACGCCGCCTGATAAGTTATCATATACCGTATCCAATGTTTTTAATCGGCGTAAACTACCAATCTCGCTGGGTAGATCTCCATGGAAGCTGTTGTTGCGAAGACCTAGAAATCGAAGGAAGCAGAGGTTTCCAAGTTGTCGTGGAATGGTCCCTACTAGACCCATGCTAGAAAGTTTCAATACCGTGACTCGTTGCCTACGAAGACTGCATGCAGAAAGAGGTTTTTGCAGTCCAGTAGTAAGCTATGATGTTTTGAGGATCAAAAGTGATGCAATCCTTGAAGGCAAGAAGAGATGATTGATCAGTGAAGTTACTTTTGGGTATGCTAATGCAATTCTCTGGCAGAAGCATTAGCAGCAATGGAACAAGAACAGTTATCCATACTCTCTCCATAATCTTAAGTTGAGAGAAAATTATAAGGAAAATGCGAATTAGAAAAGAGACAATTACATCACTTGAATGAAAAACAAGATATATATGTGTGTGTGAAATCTTGATCTAAATTTTCTTCAATTACTTGTTTCACAGGTAGGGCTTAGCAGCCATTTTGAAATAGGATCCCAAACACATGGCTTTCCAGAAGTAACTGAGAATTATTACTTAATAAAGGTTGACTGTCTTAACTAACAAATTCCATAGTCATTAATAAATTTATTCTAATTTATATATTTTCAACAATTTTATTAATTAAGTATAATAATATCTCAAATAATTTAATATCATATAAAAATAATTAAATTTATTACCAAAAAAGTTAATAACATTTATAATACAATTTCAAGATACATATCATAAATATTCATCTCCATAAGTATAATAGTACTATTTTATTTTTTTAACAATAATAATATAACAGTTGTTATTCATCAAATAACAAGTATTAATAATCATCATTGTCGTTATTTGGATAAAATGTTGTTGGACTCTGCAAAAGGTAGTATAATAATAATGAACATGTCCAAATCTATTAAATAACAGCCGTGATGACCATAACTTGAAACTATCTTCCTGAACCAATTCCATAATAGTTGACACAGGATAATTAATGCACCTTTTTCAATTATTCATCAATAATTAGACATTGACTCTTCAAGCTAATATCACCCTTGAACATTCCAATTTACTGGGTTTTTTCTTTTGACTTTTTCTATCAACATTATTAAAAACATGTAGACTTCAAGTTTTGAAGCAGGTGCTGATCAAAGAGAGCAGTCATGGAAGTCTAAGCAAATTAAAATCCATCAATTAACCAAACTACCATATTAAACGAGCTAAACTTTAATATTTATTGTCAACGCTCATTTATCATTTCCTTTCCTCATTTGTCAAGCTAGTACTACATAATTTAAAAAAAAAAAAAAAAAGAGGGTGTAGGACTATTTTGTAACTATTTTCCCCCTCTTCTTCGTCTTGTCTTTACTAGCACGGTCATTAATTAGTATAAAATATAACCCGTGGTTTAAATGTGTGTGGATGATTTTTTTGCAACTGATCAAACGACCGATTAGTAAATCGATCAAGATATATAGAATTAATATTATGATTTATAAAAACAACAATTAATCAACCACTAATTGATGGACATGCTGGCAAGGATCCTGGTTTCACATCAAGAGCTTTTTCAATGCCAAAATCGCTAACATTCGCAGCCCAAGCCTTTAAACACAATAGTTGTTCTTCAAGGAGGATTTAGCCGCCTTGTCTTGAGCTGAATATAATTCATTATTACCATGAAAGTTACTAAAATAGGAAACCCAAATCTTTAACCACATCTGGATGACTATAATTTAAAGAATCTGAACAAAAATTATAAAAAGGAGTTGGGATAAATGAATGTTTATGATCAATTTAATTTAATAGCCGCAGTCAATTATTTAGAACTCTTCTATATAGATATTTCTATAAAACACTCTAAATATGTATAATAAATGATTTTTTAAAAATTATTTAGAACATATCTAGATTATTATTATTATTATTATATCTAAACGTTCTCTATTAACTTTTACAAATGTGTGGAGCGCAAAAAAAAAAAAACAATGATATCATAGGAAGTTCTAGACGATCTACATGAACTTGGCAGAACCTGACCTATTAACTAGTTGTCATGAAGCATCCGAAATGCCGAAAATTACCACCAAAATGCCGTGTTAGCTTCACCAAACTATAGTTGATGAACTATAGAATTAGCCAATCCAATTGCTAATCTGTTTCTTCTTTTAATGTTAAAAGAAATATAGTTATGTGATGACTTGACCAATAAATTCGTACATAGAAAAATTGGAATTATGATAAAAACGATACTAAAAATAATTTCATAACTTGATTTTTATGGCATCTCAATTTTTCAACTAAAGTTTTTCTTTATTTTACTTTTTATGATATGATAGTAGAAATTATTTTTTGATCAACCAGCTTATCAATTGGGACTAAATTTTCTTCCGAGCAACTCAAGTTCTTCCACTTCAAGAGACACGTAATGCTTCTTATGCTCTTTTTTTCCTTTTTTGTTTCGGACATGAACCTTGTCCATTAATGCCATTTATTGATTCAGACAATGAATCTTTAATCACCTGTTTGGAGTTCAATTAATATCTATCAAGCACTTCATGTGTAGCCTTTTATTTATTTATTGGGTGTGAATATTATCTAGGCATGGAGTTTCTTGGACACAATCCATAATCTGCACAAGACAACTGACAAGCTCTGTATGACTTAACAGAGATCAGGCTTTCGAATGAACACCAAACAAGGAAGGACTACAAACACCCGCAAAGTTTTGTGGGTTCAGCTAATAGTTTGGAGAACTCAATCATCACTAGCTGCATGGACCTGTTATCTGCCTTTCAACGTCGTTTGGAACGGAACTCTGTAAGATTGCTTCAGAAGAGCTATGGTTGTAAGATTCTGATATAAACTTGGGATTTAACAACTCAGAATTTAAGGGAACAAAGTTCAGTGTCGTGGCCAGCAAATTTAACTTGCACACAGAGAATAGGTAGAAAGGCTATTAACTACTACATAAGTTGAGGTATCTTATGGCCTCTGCGTCTTTGGGACTCTCAAGACTTCCCCCTTGATCTTTTTAAGCCTTGCCAGGATTTCAACCATGTTGATCCTCTCCTGAGGTGATTCATTAGTACATTGCAGAGCTAACTCCATTATAGATGTGACACAATGCTTCTCTTTTAAGGAGTCGCCGTCTCCTGTGTTCAACATATTGCCATCCACGATGTCAATTACTGAATCAGGAAATGATTCTTTGACCAATCTTTTCAAGCTCATTTCTCCCTCAAACATTTCATCTGTAGGCTTTTTTCGTGTGAATATTTCCATTAACATGATCCCAAAACTGTGGACATCAAACAAGTCCGTCCAGTCCATACTCTGCACATGATAATTAAATTGTTATAGGGTGTCATTTGGCAGACATTAAAGTGAAAGCTACGCAAAAAAAAATACTATATTAAGAAGACTAGACATCACCTGGAGCCATATAACCTACTGTAGCAAGCGTCTTGGTCTGTGCGATGGATTCGCTTTCACCTAAAAGTTTTGCAATGCCGAAATCACACACGTGTGCAACCATGTCTTCATCTAGTAACACATTGCTCGGTTTCAGATCACAATGCACCACTGGAGTTGAATATCCATGATGAAGGTACTCTAATGCAGACGCAACATCGATCATGAATGATTTCCAAGCAATAGTTGTAAGAGTATAACCATTTCTCCAAGCTTCCTTTAGGCATGAACTCTAGGACTAACGCTTTGAAGTCAAGATTAGAGCAACTAGAGATAATCTTCACAAGGTTGCGGTGTCTAATGTTGCGGATGATTTCGCATTCTGTATCGAAACTTCTGAAAGCTCCTTGCAATTTCAGATTAAAAATCTTCACAGCTACATTTAGCCCATCAGGAAGCACCCCTTGATATACAGAGCCAAAGCTTCCGACGCCAAGCAGATTACTCTCATGAAGTTCATTTGTTGCGCGTAGAAGTTCTAGGTAAGAAATTCTTCTTTGGATTGCTGTCAACGGCAAGGTTTCTGGAATATGAATTTTTCTGCACCTTCGTCGACATCCTATAAGAAGAAAAGTGAAAGCCAATGCGAGCAGAAGTGAAGCAACAGCTAGTAAACCGAACTTTAGAAGTCTGGATTTAGTCTTTAAATGTTTATGAGATTCAATGCTGCAGAGTGGGACTTGCAGCCGAGAAGGGCCACAGAGAGCCTTGTTCGCCATAAAAGATTGAGCAGTGAAGCTTGCAAATGGTCCTCCGCTTGGAATTTGTCCGCGGAGGCTATTGAAAGATACATTCAAATATTTCAGATATCTGAGTTCTCTAGTGACTTGGGGATTGAACCAGACAAGGTATTTCGAGACAAATCCAAGATTTCCAAGGCTACCAAATCACCAAATGATTCTGGAATGGACCCTTGAAAGCTGTTATTAGATAACGAGATAGATGACAACTTCTGGAGCGAACCTATTGTACTTGGAATATGACCAGACAACTGATTCCTTGATAAATCTGTTGGGTTTCCCTCCTAGTTGGAGGATGGCCCAAAGGTTTTCCTACATAAGCCCAATCTTAGAAAATTTCTTTCCAAAAAATTATGTTATTGAAGATGATCATATGGTAAGTACACGTACCTGTGAGACTACTTTTAAAGAATCGAAAATATTGAAGCTTGTGCAAATTCCCAAAGCTTTCTGGAATCACGCCGGATAAGTCATTAAATCGCATATCCATTGCCTTTAATCGGCGTAAACTACCTATATCGTTGGGTAGATGGTCGTGGAAGCTATTGTTGCGAAGATCTAGAAACTGAAGGAAGGAAAGGTTTCCAAGTTGTGGTGGAATGGTCCCCATTAGTCCCATGCTTGAAAGATTCAGTGCTGTGACTCGTTGCCTGCGAAGACTGCATGAGACGCCCATCCAGTTGCGGAAGGAGGTTTCGGAGGACCAGTTGCTTTGCAAGAGGTTTTGAGGATCGAAAATGATGTGAGCCTTGAAGGCAAGAAGGGCAGATTGATCAGAGAAGTTACTTTTGGGTGTGCTAATGCATTTTTCTGGCAGAAACATTAGCAGCATTAAAACAAGAACGTTAATGCTCCAAAGTTTCCCCATGATTTTAAGTTGAGAGTAAACCAAGACCAAGAATGCGTAATCCATTAATGGATCCAAGCTTTTCCATATATAGGTGGAGTTTCAACGCTGTAGTCCAAATCAAGTGCGTAGCTATGAAAACTACCACCAAAATTAGAAGTTTGAAGGGGAAGTTGCTTCCAGTATGAACCTGCTCTAGCTTCCACCTGTGATTTTGCGCCTCTGGCTGCTTATTCTGTGGCTACTTCTGAGACTTGAATTTTGTTTTAAATATTTAAAACAAAAATATCAATTTTTTTCCATTGATTTTGACAGTCAAGGTACAAAGGAATCTCAAAATTCTTTCTCTTCCAGAAGTTTTTTTTTAAAAGAATATTTAGTGCAGGTTTTGCTTAAACAGGAATTAATAGGATGAAAACTAAAATACACGGCAAAGCAAATATAATTCATTACCAAAGAAAGAGAAAATTATAAATTAGGTCCTCTAATTTTGCAAAACGAATCAAATAATTCTTTTAGTTTTTTTTTTAAAAAAATCTAATTCGTTAGTCCATTTATTGTCCATTTCATGCTATTTTTCTTTTTCTTTTTTTTTTTTTTTGAAACAAAATAATATTAAATTAAGTATGCACAACAATAGAAATGATTATTTTTGTTTTGCAAATCCAGAGAAACTAATTTATAATTTGCTCCCAAAGAAATCTCCTCTAGCTATATTTTTCTTAATGCATTGCCAAAACAGCCTCCTCTATCTCTTTTTCCTTTTTTAATTGTTTTGCAACGGACATACTAATCCCCCAACTGTCACTCAATTCTTAATTGGATCACTAAGAATACAAATTCCCAATTGGGTCTCCTATCAGTTGAACATTATCCAATTTACCCTTGCCTTAAACTTTTTTCCTTTGAAATGTTAAAAACGACGACGTATTTTATCTTTTAAAAAAAAAACATTGTGATGGGGTCAATTATGTGACGTTTTATTGACAGAGGACCCAACTAGAAATTATTTTTGTTTTGGGATCTAATTGAGAATCATTAAATAATTGGGGGGAGGGGAGAATATGTCCTGTGCAATTTTCCAACTGTTGTGTTTTTGTCCTAGTTAATTTTTTTTCAAGCACTTGAAGGCTGAAGTCATCCCATAAAGATATTTTTCTATCTTAGAGGTATTTCATGTAATAACAAACAAAGTGAAAATAATAAAGTAAATTATAAATTAATCTTTCTAGTTTCAAAAAACAAATTAATTAGTTGTTCTGATTTTGAAAAAAAATAAGTATTTATTTTTTTATATTTTAATTTCATCAAGATATAATTTAGTCTTTTTATCAGTTTTTTATTAGATTAGTGTTTTTTATATATATATATATATATATATATTACCCTTTTTCAATGTCTTATTTCTTCTTTTTTTCCACCGACTTTCCTTTTTAATCTCATCAACTAAAAAATCATAAGAAGAACAATTTAATAACAAAAAATCAAAAATCTAATAGAAAACTGATAAAATGACTAATTGATTAATGTAATTATTAAAAATAAAAGATTAAATAATTCATTTTTTTAAACACGAGGGACTGATTTATATTTGACTCGAAAATAACATGATCTTGGTGTCGTGCATTCTTACACTTCTAAATGTAAAATATACAATATTTTTTATTGGAATACGTGAGTATAAATTTATTTCTGTAAATAGAAAACATAGAAAATACTTTGAGGAAAAAAGAGAGAGAGAATTTGACAACAGCTTGATCGGAAACTCCGACTGTACCAGATGTAGCCACGTCCATCTGTTACTTGAAATAGGACTGAAAGAACACATTATATGCGAAGTGAATTAGTCAAAATAACATTGAAAAATCTTAGTGATGACTTGACCGATTAATAAATTCAACTTTCCACACATAAAAAAAGAAAGAAATATGATTGAAAAAATTTACAGATCAGATAAAAAGAGCCTGCCTGGTTAATTAATCTGTTTTCAATCACCTGAAGACTTAGTCATCCGAAAAAGAAATTTTTCAATGTTACAGCAAACAAAGTGAAATTAATTACTATGATTAATCAGGTGGGGTCAAATCCTTACAGATTCTTATAAATGTAAACGATATTATTAATATTATTATATAATAATATATTATTATTTTGTATTACATAGCCACCATTTCTTACTTGAAATACGACCTCAAATTAAAAACATATTATATGTGAATTCAATTGGTCAAAATAATATAGAAAAAGTTCAGTGATGACTTGACTAATAAATTCAATTTTACATAAAAAAAAATTGGAAATATTATGATAGAAAAAAATTATAAATAATTTAATAACTTCATGTTTTGTGTGTGTGAATATTTAAATTAGCATTATCCCAAAACCATAAGCATCGAGTTTTTCAACGAAATCCATCTCTGCACATATATGACAAGGCGTTGCAAGATGATTAGCAAGGCGACATCTTTAGAATGAAGACGAACTTCTTTTATTTTAATGTTTTCTGATCTTAGTTTTTTATTTTTCGAGTATAAAAGGTGTTTTTAAATTAATTTATGCATTAATCAAAACTAAATATTTTTTCTGACGATCTTAAAGCTGCTTGAGTGCCAATCTCAAGATTCAAATCCAAAAAATCAAATAAAGAAACAAACCTTTCTAACCATTAGACTAACCTTTTAGTTGGTGTTCGATTACCAACGATAAAAGATACAAAATAAAAAAGCACGATTAGAATAAAAATTAAAAAATCAAAATAATATTTTTATTTTAATACTTTATTTAAAATGATAATAAATAATAATAAAAAATTTAAAATTTTTAATATCTAATTTTTAAAACGAATAAAAATAATAATTAAAAAATAATTTTATCAATTATAATAATAATAAAAATAATAAAGATGATTGTAATGGTCGTTAAAGAGGAGAAGGAAATGAGGGTTTTGATGATAGTGGTGGTGGTAGTAACAATGGACTAATAATATAATGATAAAAATATTGTATTTAAAAAATAATGCCATCACCTTAAGAAAAATAATGATAGCAATAGTATAATAAAAATAATAATGGTAATAGAATCATAATAATCCTAAAAGATTTTTTAATTTTATTTTCATCACCATCAATGAAGATGATAACGATAGTAATAGTGGTATTAGTAGTGAAGTAGATGATAGTGATAATAATATTAGTAGTAATATTAGAAGTAATTAATACACAATAAACAAAAATAATACATAGCTATTTTGCACATATATATATATATATATATATATATATCATTCCTTATTTTTATTAAATGAAATTATATTTAATTTTTATTTTTATTTTTATTTTTATTTTCACCATTATATTTTTTATTGCCAAAAAAACACATTAAAGTTTTTTTTTTAATCCTAATACGCCCAATTTCTGACAGCACCGTTTCTAAACCCAATGGTTCATGATTATGGTTTACGAGCCGAAAAACACCACAACAGGTCAATATGTACTTGGGCTTAGGATGCCAAGCAATTGCTCCCTCATAATTTGGACCGGGGCTTTCCTTTGTAATCCAACTGTGCCCTAATTAGATATGAAAACAACAAGTAAGAATCACCAAAATGTTTCGATGGATTATTGAATTAATATGCATGCCAGCCCAATTATTAATACGCAATTTCTTAATTCAAGTTCAGCACTTGGACCTGTTTATTTGCCTTGCAAAAGTAACTATATGTTCACGCCATTCTTTTTATGAAACTTGAGGAAACAATGATAGAATTATTCATCAATAAACTCTGGGGCAAAATTTACTTCAGTAATTATATGTAAAATTGCTACACAATATCAGCAGCTATGGCGGTAATTAAGATTTTGAAATAAATTTTGGATTCAACAACACAGAAATTAAGACCTCTTAATATGCCAAGTCAAAAATTAAGTTGAGTATTTTGGCCAGCAAATTTAACTTACGAACAGAAAAAGTTAGAAAAGCAGTAAGAACTATGTCAGTTGATGTATCTTAGGGCCTCAGCCTCTCAAGATCTCTCAAGAATTTCTTCCCCCTTGATCTTTTTAAGCCTTGCCAGGATTTCAATCTCGTTGATCCTTTCTTCAGGTGATTCATCAGTACATTGCAAAGCCAACTCCATCATAGATGTGATACAAATGCTCCTTGTTTAAGGAGTAGCCATCTCCTCTATTGAGTATATTTACACCCAGCAGATTACTCTCATGAAATTCATTTGTTGCATGCTGAAATTCAAGGTGGGAAATTTTTCTCTGGATTGCTGTCAATGACAAGGCTTCTGGAATAGGATTTTTGCTGCTCCTTTGTCGACATCCCATAAGAAGAAAAATGAAAGCCACTACGAGCAGAAGTAAACTGAACGCTAAAACTCTGGATTAAGCTTTTGAAGGTCTATGAGACTCGCTGCTGCATGGGCGTGGGGCTTGCAGCCGAGAAGGGCCGCATACATTCATAAAGAATAAACAGTGAAGTTTGCAAATGGTCCTCCACCTGGAATTTCTCCTCGTAGTCCATTGAAAGACACATCGAAATACTTCAAATATCTAAGTTTCTCTGATGACATGGGGATTGCTCCAGACAAGTTACTTTAAGACGAATCTAAGTATTCCAAGCTTACCAAGGCTCCGTTTGTTTGGCGGAAAATAACTTCCATAGAAAAATAAATTCCTAAAGAAGTTATTTTCCAGGAAATTATTTTTAAAAAAATATTTTCCGTCGTTTGACAATTACATGAAAAAACTATTGAAAAATATATTTCAAGCATTTATTTGATATAGAAAATTAAACTACAAAACGTTATCCGATTATTACATCGACAAGTTTTGAGAAACCTTTAAAAAGGTATATTCACAATTTTACAATATAATATACATTTAGAAAATTTTAATAAATTTTCATAAATATTGACTCTAAAATTTTAATTCAAAAAATAAAATGTACTTTTTTAGCCATCAAACCAATTCATCAAAATTACTTGGAACAAATCAAGTCAATATTCACATTTAATT